AGCCCATGCTGGAGCAGTCTGTTCCTGAGGGATTACTCCTGGTGGGAGGGACTCACATTGGAGGGGTTCGTGGAGGACTCTCCCCCATGGGAGGGACCCTGCTGGGAATCAGAGGAGGACTGGGAGGAATCCTGCTTCCTGAGGAGGAAGAAGCAGGATTGTGACAAACTGATGTTAAATCCCAACCCCAGTCCCCCCATGTCGCTGAGGGGAAGGAGGCAGAAAAATGGGGAAGAAGGGAGGGGTGGGGTCAGGTATTTAAGTACCGCTCTTTCTTTTGTCTTTGTCCTGTTTGCATCCAATTAGTGATAAATTAAATTTGTATTTTTCCCCAAGTTAAGTCTGTTTTGCCTGTGATCGGAATTGCTGAATGAACCTTCCTTGTTCTTGTCTCGACCCATGAGCTTCTAGTTGGTTTTTGTCCTCCCCCAGTGTGTGTGGGTGGCTGTAAATGAGTGGCCACAGGATTCTTTGTTGTTGATTAGACCCAAACCACAACATTACGTCATAATCTATCTCTTGCTCCTTTCCAACAATATATCTCGTTCTCTTCAGTGAAGCTGTTGTGAACGAATTCACAAGTGACTGAGCAATAAGGAAGTCCCAGGTCCCAGAGGGGAGCTGATGAGCATCAGCTCAGCATCTGAGCAGATGTTGCATAAGCAGGTTCATCTGGAGGGAGTAGGAAAACTAGCTCAGCCCATAACAAAAACAGTGTAAGTGATGGAAGTCAGGCAGGGCATGAGGAAGCTCTGCACTTACCTGCATCACGTTAGCCACCTATTTAACAAAATCTGTGAACACTCAACAGAAAGCAATTCTTACCAACAACTGTAAAATTACAAGAGGGCACATTTGATAGATGCAGGCCAACTGAATGGAGACAAGGTACTGCAAAGGAGACCACTCCTTCTGGCTGACCAGCTTTTGATAAACACCTGTGGAGGTGGTGAAATGTGTGCACTCCTGCTGTGTGCTTCTTTGACTTGATGAAGGACAAGTCACAGAGCTCCTCCACCCAGTGTAGCAGGAGGCAAGACATAAATGGTGGATGGCAATGAAGAAACCACTTTCCTAGAATGCTGAAGGAGTGGCTAATCTGCACCATAATGCCTGATTAATGGTTCAGAAACACAGTTCATCTGGGAAAAAGTAATCTGAGTTTAAAAAAAGTGGATGAAGAATGTCTGAAGCTTCACAAATGCCATGTTGAGAGGATGGATCTGCCTGACAGACTGTACTATGGTTTCCTGCCTCTCTGGCTGGACTTTTGCTATCTAAGAGTTACGAGACTGTACATTTCCTGGGAGAAGTTTCTCCGCTATACAACAAAAACATGTCCTGTGGCACAGGTAGGAGAATGTATCCGTGGAGCAGTGGTACATATTTTGAAACTCAGTTGACCAGAGAAAGGCTTATATGATAGGGAAAAGACAGGAAGGATAAAAAAAGAAATGGAGGTCAAAATTAATGCTATTATTCCTTTGTTTTTCCCTGCAAAGGAAATCCAGGAAAAAACAGGCCTCTGTGTTTAACATAACTTGGGAAAGAAAGCAAAGCTGAGCTCACTCCTGCATCCTACCTGCATCCTCCCCTTCTGCATCCTACACATATGTACACTGGAGGCAGGATATAGTTGTAGGTATTTTCCCTTGTATTTGAGCTAAAAATCTCCTGTTTGTGTGCGTGGGTTCACATCCTTAGTGTGAACATGGACAACTGCTTAAAAGAAGGCAAAAAGCCACTTTGTAAAAAATTTTTATGGAGCACTTATTTTCATTTAATAATGAACTGATGGGAAACTAGTAACATGGCAGGGACTGGAGTCAGGTGGGGCAAAAAGGGTTCACTAGCCTGTTCTGTTCAGGTCATGAAGCACAGCAAGAAAACCTCTGCTGCTTCCATAATAATGTACACAAGGGAGGAAGGAATATGGCTGAAAAACCATCCATGCCACTTTCTGCTCACTTCATTTCAAGCCCACGACTGCTGCAGCCTCTCCTGGTACTAACAATAGGAATGAAGTCAGATATGAGATTTTTAGATAAAGCATATAAAGTATCTCAGTTTTTCCTGTTGAGATTCCCTTCACATCCATGGCCAAGCCACTAAGAAGCAGTGATCAATACAGTGAAAGGATGAGGAGAAAACATAATACCATATTATCTTCTTGTTTTCCCTTTAAGAAAGCGAATAATGTCTTTGAACAGTCAGAAACACAATTTTTTTCCTGATGGAAAAACTGCAGGAGAAAAAGATGAATGTGATGATTGATTGTTTCAAACATTTTTATACTAACAGTCACTGACCAGTGGATGGGATATATTTATTCTCTGCAAGAAGCAGGGCCTGCTGAGGAGTTAACTGGATAAGCTTCTATAAACTATGCTCTACAAATTACTTCATGAGTACAATAGTCCCTCCTGACCTCCTAAAATGCATTGCTAAACTCATCATTCACCTCCACTGAAAGCACCATTTACCATTTCCATTATCTAGCTCAGACGAATCTTTGGAGAACTAAACATCCACTAAAAGAAGAGAACTTAGACTCCCCATCCTGAACATGCACACATACAATGGAGTTAAAAGCAGGTAGCCACTCTGGCTTGTCACTTGTCCAAAGATTAGAGTGGGTTTTTGTAAAAGATGGTCCTGCTATACCTGATACACCTCCCTCCATGACCTCATACACTAGGAAATTCAGGGAGACACATAGGGCACTGCTTTGAGGACACAGAAAATGGGGGAATTTGGTGACTCCCATCTGCTTTAGTCATGCTTTGGGAACTTCCAGATTAGCTGTAATTATCTGCAGGGTGAGATCTTTGGATTTCAAAGCACTGGGTATTAAATAAGTACAAACTTTAAGGACAAACTTAATTTATACTAACAGAAATCAAGAAGTTTGAGTGATAACTTTCTGCTTAATTTGTCTCCTTTAATACAACACATCTTTCTCTCTGCTGCTCTCAACTTTAGAAGAACAACTTCAATTCCCTTTTAAACTAAAAATATATCCTTGTGTAAGATCACCAAGGACTTAAAAAAAGTCAGTTGTTTTTTTAAAATACCTTTCCTGCAACTGCACATAGCTGTTGATTAACTGCACCAAAATACTGTGGGTATGGTAGCTGAGAAACAAGAAAAGATTAGGCAGAGAAGAAAAAAAATATCAATTAACAGTGTGTTTCAGATATATTCTTGCACCTGGCCCTCATTTGTCTGCAGCTGAGAAACAAAAGACAGCTTTAACCTTATTATTGTTATTATTATTACTGCTATTGTTCTTGCTATTATTTATTAGTGCCATTGTCAAAAAGAAGACTCACTTCATCAGGGAATGATCAAGCAACCAGACTCTCCAAGCCTGGGCAGGATTGGCTTTGCTTTCAACTTCTTCAGTCATGATTAGCTCTGAACAATGTGGAAAGCAAGCCTCACAAGCAGCTGTTGCAAGGGAACAGCTTGAAGAAGCTGGACTCTAAAATCATACTGGTTACTTTGCACTGCCTCAGCATGGCTTATCTCTCTTTCCAGAAGGCAACTTCAGAGTGGCATTGTCCTGGCACCACAACCACAACCAAAACCTGTTTGGTGCAGGCTCAAAGCAGCTTCCCAAAATAAGACATCACCATCTTCACTGGTGAATGCTCAGTCATAAAGATTTTGCTGCTCAGTGGCTGACAGCCTGAGAACACTCAACAGCAGCATTTCTCAAACTGGGACCAGCTTCCTGGAAGGGGCTGGATTGCTATTAGAAGCATCAAGCAACAAGCCAGAGGCAATCAAACATAGCTCACCTGGGCCTGCCCCAATTAAGGCTTGACAAGAATACAGGTCTTGTGCTAAATACCATGTCATGTATCTCTTTCTTGCTGATCCTAAGGACAAATGAAGATATCCTTAGGCTTAGACACAAAATGTGCATGCCTAACTTAATCCAGTGTATAGCAATTTTGGTAGTTTTCAGTGAGAGCTGCTCACCCAATCACTGCATAGGCCCCTGACCCACTTCCCAGCAGTTTTATTCTGTATCCTCCCATCTGTGAATAAATGCAAAACGAGATGCTCCCTCCGCCACCCAAATTTTTAATACCATATCTCCTTCAACCAATTTGCTGCAATTAACAGGAATAATGAAGGTACACAGGAAGGACATATTACCCTGAACCCAAGCTTAGCAGGTGAGCACCTGTATCATCAGATAGTACAATAAGATGCTTCTCATTACTTTTGTAAGGTGTTACTTGTAATGCAACTTTAATTTCAACACACACTGTAATTCTTACATTTTTTCCCCCAAATTAAAAGGGGAAGAGAAAGATCACTAGCAGTGTTAAGACAGTGATCTTGGATGGGTTTGTTTTTTTTTCTTTTCCTGAGGACAAAAAACCCTGAAACTGGCAGATTTCATGCAGCCACTAAAGAGTCTATAGTTGGCAAAAACTGAATTTTAATTGATAAGGAAGGAACAATTGTCCAATTCACTGCTGAGTCTGGCACACAGGCAAGAGGAGGCCAAAAGGTCACTCACAAACAGCTAAACATGCCAGACACTGAGCAAGAACAATTCCTTCTTGTCAGCTTGACATGGAAACTAGGTTTCTAAGGCTCCTCGATTTGTTACCTCTCTCTCAAAAGAAGAAAAAAATATATACATGACCTATATTTAATATGCTGAATACTGACACTTGTCTTGCATTCCACAGAAACTGTTACTTAACTTTCTTCCATCCACTACCAAGCATATATTAGGAAATGGCTGCATGCTGTTCCCCAGGTCTTCACTCACGTTTACAGTGAAGCAAACCCATTGATCCCCTTGTTTTGATCTGGTTCAAAATACAGGTTTTGTTGTTCCCGCCCTTTCCCTGAGCTCCTGCCCTCATCTTGCCAAGCCCAAATCTCACGGCTTGCTTTAGTTTCAGCAGAGCTACATAGAAACAACCACAACCTGCTCTTTGGTGCTGAACCTCCAGGGACTTCCAGGTACTGACCTCCACCAAGGGCCTGGGCTTGCGCTCCACTGCAAACCTGAAGTGGCAGAGCTCACAGTAGCTGGTGTTTGAAGCTGACAGCCAGTGCTCCAGGCAGCTGCGGTGAACAGTCCCCAGGGTCCCTGTACATTGGCAGGGGGAAAGCAGGTCTTGCTGCCTGCTGCCCTCATGGCAGATCCTGCACATCGGCCGGTCGTTGAAAGGGCTGCTGGAGGAGGAGAGAAAACTGTGGGTCAGCATACAGGGCTGTGATCTAGCCTCTCTCTCTTTCCATC